ATAAAATAGGTTTAAGGTGTAATATTTACAAAATCTAGACCTACAGCTTCTGCTAACTTTAAATACAGTGTTTAACACATAACTTAAGTCTTAAGTTAAGATGGTAAGATAAATATCTTACTTCATTCCATCTTATATCTCAGGTTAGGAAATCCTAAATACTCAATCCAACATCGGTTATCAACTTAAATGTCTGTTGCCCAACAACTGATGCCACTTTTCTCCCCTCGCCGAGCTAAACGGCTTTTAATTGCTGTGTTTTGCAAATTTTTTAATGAAACATTCACTGAAAATGGAGCAAAAACAACATATCGTTGGACTTCAAGACAGATGACTTAGAGGTGTTGGTAACCTCCGTCGAGAAATCCAAATTCACAGGACGCTTATTTTGGGAGATTAAATATAGAGTGGGCTAAAATAGTGGACACATTCATCACCGCGTAGGCTATCTGGCAGCCAGTTGATGCTTCTCGGGAAAGTTATTCATGAAGGTAAAATAAATAATAATAAAGGCTGCGGGCTAACGTCATCATGTTTTTCATGTATTTCTTGAATTTAACAATCTCCTATCAAAGACTTGCATTAGAATCCTTTTGTTGATTCAAGCCTTTACATTATGTTATATAATGAGACATTAAACACATCGGTAGAATCAAAGTTCTGCCTGTTGACATTTTATTGATTTTGTAAAAGCAATAAAAGAGCAGCCATGTGGATTAAACGAGTTAGCAAACACTACCTGGTGGACAAATAAAGTTAGGACAGCTTAACAGTTATCCTAAAGTTAGGAGAGTTTATTTAAGATTTTATGAAGTTAGGATGCTTCTGAAATACCCTTTTTCTATCTTTAGGAAAGGAATATTTACTTATGAACTGTTAATCTGTAATGGCCTTTTTCCTAAATCAGTTCCTAACCATTATTAGAAATTACCAAGGAGTTAGGAAAGGGATCTGCTGGTTAGGAAGTTTCTGTAATACAGCCCCAGAGGTGTAAGTGTATTTGTGTGTGTAAGTGTGGGAAGATGAGAAGGGGAGCTTATTCAAGTAGTGAATAAACACTAAAATGGTGGAAAATTACCTAAATAACCTACTATCAATACAAATACCATAAATACCAATACAGCCCTAGTTGAGAGACATTCTTATGTCGGGTGTCGCTCAAGATCATTCACAGAGATCAAGTCACTCATTGCGTGTAGGGAAAAGAAAGAGCCTGACATTCCACACACGACGTGGAAAGCAGCACGCACGTCTGAGGACTGAGTCACTGTCTAGCTGTCCACTTCCCATTTCTAACAACTTTCAACATCAACAAACAATCACTACCTGTTTGACAGCAAAGCAGATTTGTTCCACAGAGCCAGAAAGCAGGAAGCAAAGGGAGGAAAGCTGGTGGTGAAAGAACTCTTGTAGCAGCAAGAGAGTGAACAACTAACAGACAGCCTAAGAAATGTTCCAGTGTGTTTGGTCAGCTGGCCTGTGTCCAGGTGTTTCCCAGCTACAGTTAGGATTGTCTGCTGCTGAGAAACTACAGGCTGCAGTTTGTTTAACACTTCTTTTTTTTTTTTTTTTTAATTATGCACAAATTTTGCTGAGGTGACCCTGAGCCAAAGGGCAGAGGAAACCTGGGATGAAGGTAATTATTTTAAACAAACACATTCTACTTACACATCTGTGAATTCCTTCAGAGAAGTAGCAGGAGTGAAGACATCTAGGAGGCCAATCACCTGCAAAAATATGAAAACCACTGTCAAGTTAACAACACAGAGAATGCTATGGTCAGCAACTCAAACCTTAAATAAACTACAACTTTTTTAAGCATTGCAAAAAACTTTGTTTACGCATGTTCACCACCACACAGAACAAAGGGAAGAGAAACAAGTCCACTCACATTTTCATGCGTCATGTGCTTCAGCAAGCGCAGCTCTCTGTATGTTCTCTTGGCATGGATGATGGACTGAAACGGCCGAGAGAGCTTCTTCACAGCTATCTTCAAACCAGTCTTCATATCATATGCAGAACTGCAACAAAAAAAAGAAAAGAAAAAAAAATAGCAGGCAAACATCCAAGTTTAAATCTCATCAGCAATAACACACTTGTCACGTAAAACCTACTTACATACAAGAGTTTAATCAGCAGGAACTGATTTAAAGAATAAAGCCTAAGGTCTGAACAGTTAATCAAAATATTATCTAAATCGCAACATTGCCAAGTGCAGTTTTTTGACAAAAGGTAAAATATGTCACAACAGTGACAAAAGCTTGTGTTGCTACAGAGACGCCCCGGCCTACAAATCATATTGTCCAGACATGAGGAAACATGCTTTCTTAGTACAGACTCCATGATTTTTTATTGTGTATCGTTCAGCCCTACCTACAAGTGATGACAATATACTGAACAAGAAATTAACTTGAAATGAAAAGCGAGCTTCTCATTTGTAGGCTGATTCTGCTCAGAATGGGCTGAGTTTGCTCTCAAAACCAAACTAGGTGCAGTAAGAGCTGCTGAAGCCTGGTAAAAGGGCGACATCAGCACAAAATGTCATCTCTCAGCAGAATGGGAGCAGGCCTGCCTGCAGTCTATACTGCACACTAAAGGCTGACTGTCCCAAACCCAAAATTTCCTCCCACTCACCCCACCTAACCATACTCATGGGCAGTGGACACACACCTATGACTACGGCTAAGACTCAAGAAACCAGTGTGACAAGAGATGTGCCAATAACACAAGTTGTTGAAGCTGAAATATCCAATAGTTTAAATCCATATCAACCGATACCAATGTTTTTTTGTCAGAGTCACAATACAAAATATTTAGATAATCCAAAAACAACAACACAGTGTGCCTTCTGGAGAGAGAGAAACTGGGTGCTGAACCTCAAAAGCCTAAATAAGTTTAAAATGAGAAAGTGTAAATGGAGTCCATTTACAGTATGTGTCAATGTATGAGACAAAATGTATTTTTTATTAGTGTTTTCAATTTACTGTGAATTTTTCACTTAACAGCATGGATCGCAGTTTAGCTGGGCAACCAATTAAAGCTGTGCGTTGCCAAATAAACTAGTCAGAGTTTCACAGCAAAACTTAGGAGTCCATGTAAACACTGAAAATATAAGTGAAAAAAACAAAACAATCACAGTCAATGCACTGGTGAGCAGACAGTAATCTGACCAGCAACAGATTATCCTATTGCCCAGCAACAGCACAGCTGCCCATTTCCATTTGCAAACAAACATCTGCCCACTAAATCAAGTGTACCGCTTACAATGTTGTGTCCTAGATAGTATCAGGAAAACCTATTTAATCAGCGCACCAATGCAAAGGGTTTAACCTGTGAAAGCTTATGCGTTTGCCATGAAGGAGCATTTAGGCAATCCACCTTACCAGCAAGATCTTCTTAAAAAGAGGCATGATCCTAAAAGCTACCTAAAAGATGAGTCGTTATGTTTTAAATAAAGCTGGAAGATATATTGAAATTACATTGATGTTATGATGAGACTAATCATTTGGGATTTGTGTTACCTGGAAAGCTGTCCCTTCCTGGTCTTATTGGCTGAATGTCATGACTGTCTGGACTAGGGCTGCAACTAACATATTCACCCAGCCTGTCAGTTATTTATCTAATTATTATTTAGTCTTATAAAATGTCAGAAAAACAGCCTAAAACGATTTGATGTTTCCCCCCTTGCTAAATGACAATTACAATTGTTGGCAATTAATTTAAACTATTCTACAAGAGTGAAAATATCTTTTGCCATCTCATCAACTATACTTATATATTTTACTCTGAAACAATATCAGTTCAGATTAAATATAAACTATATGTATAAATGTATATGAAGGCACCAATAATAGAAATATTGTCACATTATCATATATATGACGGTAGTGAGTCAAAAATTGCAACAAAAAATGTTGGAGATCCTTTCACAACACAACACCCAACAATATCTGTTAATCTTATCCTGGCTTACTCGAATTACATCACCTGTTGCACTTTGCACCAAAATGTAATTTAAATCTCTTTTTCCCCAAACCAAATGACATTAAAGTAGCCTCTGGAAACAGGATCTGCAGCTGCAGTTTGCGAGTAATTAGAAATACAGATGTCTCTGCAACATGCCCACTGATCAGAAGAAGCCTCGCAGACTTTATTAAACAGTTCAACGTCATTGTAGGTGAGCGCGTCTCTGCAGTGTTGCTTGTGTGAATATATATGAAGTTAGACAGGTTGATTACACGTTTTACAGGTGGACAATGGGGACAGATAGCAAGTCAACAGGTTTTCTTGTTGAAAGGCACATCGTGGCTCCACCTTGCTAGCCAACAATCGGGGCGAGCTAACCTAACTTTAGCATCTGCAGCACAGGCCTAGTCTAAATGAATGGAGGTTAAGTTAGGTGACTAGGCTTCACGCAAGCTCACAAACTAACATTAAAAAGTGATTTAGCGTTACCTCACGGATCCGTAGGCACCAGAGCCAACTGGAGACAGGTTTTGGTATCGCTCCGGGACTTCCCATATCGTCTTGTTGACCTCCTGTCGGTAAAACGTGGGTCTTTCTTTCTGCGACATTCCTGCAGAACCAACTGCCGACCACCGACTTGACTTTCTGCTCGGAAATGGGGCTACTCCGAGCCGTGCAGGCGGAGTTAAACTTTCCTCAAGTAACCAAAAGAGAAGCTAAATTAAACGTTTGTCTTTGTTAGATAACTTCAAGTTATCAAAAGTTGAAGGTCTGCCTTCCTGCAGAGTGTTGCAGAGCCACCGCCTCATAAATGCACGTTTAAAAACCCTTCTAGCTGTTTGTTCCTCACTCTGCTTTCTTTCAGACAGCTCCCGAGATTTCACCCTACTTGCAACCGCTTGCAACACATCGCGTGAAATATCGCGAGAAGAAAACTTCATTGCTGAGCAGACGAAAGGAACTGAAGCTCATGCTGCGGTCATGTGCTACTGGCAAAAATAAGAAACTAGAACAAAAAGAACTCTCGAAAAAAGTTTGGTATTCAACAACTCACTTTATGTGAAAGTACAAAATTATTATCACCGAAATGAACTTATACTAAAAATAGCCATAATGCAGCAGAATGGCCCCTGTCAGTGTAATATTATTTAGTATATTGTTGGGTGCTATTCACTAATGCATGAACTTGTAAACAGCATTTTAATGTTGTAAATTGTCATGATGGAGTTTATCTTTAACAATTTGATATTCTTTTGGGAAGTTAATCTATAAAGACACACCATACTTTATAGAATAGGTCTGTAAAATTTTAAATGGAGTAAAAGTACAGTATACAGAGTAGTAGTGAAGTATAAAACAGAAGTACTAGAGAAAACATTCCACCACTGCTTATGATAGTTGATGGACCAGGATGTGTTGTGAAAATAATATTCAACTCCTTCTTCTACTTCTATTCCATGGAAAATTGCAGATACATTTTTGGTTATTAATATCATGTGTAATAACATATTTGTTTAACTTATCTTGACATGTACAGTATATTCAGCACTCTTTGGTAAAATATTTCAAACATCTATTACATGTGCATATTTTTGTTTTTGATAAAAATATTTTTGTTTTTGATAAAATTTGCCCTGTTTGTATTTTTTTGAACCACAAAAAGACTTTTACTTTTTGGTATTGTCTTGTCTAATAAATAGCTCATGAAAACACATATAAACAAAGTAGTAACAAAAAGGTATTCAAGTGAATTATTTTCATGCTTTGCTATATTTTATGTTACATTTATTCATTTTAGCTGATGCTTTTATCCAAAGCAACTTACAATTGCTATATATATATGTCAGAGGTCGCACGCCTCTGGAGCAAGTAGAGGTGAAGTGTCTTGCTCAGGGATACATTGGTGGATGGGTCACAGTGGGGGATTGAACCGGGTCTCTCACACCAAAGGCAGGCATCTTATCCATTGCGCCATCACCACCCCTATGATCTTACAAAAAGCCCCTAAAGGCAGCAATAAAGGTCATTCTCAGGTCCTATGCACCTTTGTTGATGTTTTTTTCATTTTAGAAAATGTTTTAGTTTCACAATAAATTTTTATATTCTTATTTATATTCTGAGTCGCTGTGTCAGGAATATTGTTTTAATCTGTTTTTGTTTATAGTGTGTTTATATGTGTTCTCTATACTGTAGCCTGTGTCTGATTTTATTATGGTTTTATTGTAAGTGAGCACATCGTGAGCAATGTACAATCCTGAGTCAAATTCTTCGTATGTGTAGGTACACATACCTGGCAATAAAGCTGATTCTGATTCTGATTTTGATAAAGCAAGATTATATCATAATCTTAGGTGCAGCTGGAAAGGTTATCAAAAGCTGTAGCAAATATAATTCACATATTACCAAATAATATTAGAAGACTGGACTGGATGGCTAGTCTAATACAAAACAGGATAGCCTAATAAAAAATACATGAAGAAAAATGAGGAAGAAACAGAAATAAACTAAATACACATTCACAGTAAAATGTACACACAGTCACACGTCTACAACAACTGCAGCTTTATCCACAGTTTGGTTCTTACATCATTTTGAAATACACTATGGGGCTTTGAAAATACAGAGTATCCCCAATATGGAGACTTGTGAGATTAGGTTTGGCAACCCAACATATGACAAATAATATTAAATCAAATTGTCACTCTTTACATTATTTTAAAACTCCCTTAGCAATCCCATATCATTTGCAATAAATACAAACAACAACTCAACAGCCTATCTCTATTTTCTGTGACTCCATCTGTTACAAGCTGCATTGATGTCAAAAAGTTTCATTAAAAAACAAAAACACTTCCTCTGCACTCTGTGTAGAAGGATCTGTAAGTCCGCTGAATTAAGCATCATCTGAGTCTTCGTCCTCTCTTTGCTGGCATGAAGATGATGACTTAAGTGGAACCGAGTCAAATCCATCTGACGTCCTCTGAAAACACATTGAATAAAAGCATGAAAGGTTGCCTTATACCCAGCTCAATGAATGTGTGAATGGAGGGGTTACTGACCTCTCGTGAGAAGGACTTCATTTTGGTGAAGAAGGATTTCTTGGTGAGGTACATGACATCATCTTCTGCGTCTTCTCCCTCCATTATTGCACAGCTGTCTGCGGTGGGCAGCTCACACTCTTTACCCCCAGAGCTCATCATCAGCTTGGAGTACTTATACTGCAACCTGCACACACAAAGAGTGACAGGTATAACATCTTGTCAACAAAAATTACAGTTTCTTCTTTTTGAGTTTTTATGTTATTAGATTAGGTTGAAGTATGATATATCAGTGCTTCAGCAAACTCAAGGAAATGCAAAGCTCAGTACTCACTTGCGTGTCTTCTTCCAGAAATAGCAGCTGAGACTGATGAGCAGCACAGCGGCGATCGTTCCCGTGGAAACACCAAACTTAAGCCAGAAATCCAGAGTCACACAAGCACTGACTTTTTGTGCTGGTAATGACTCTCCTCCATAACACTGCAACGGCTGCTGCCACACATAGGTGGTCCTCTGAAACACACGCAGATAGTTAGATTTGCCTTAGTCACATATCAGTTAAGTACTTGACTAATGTTTTCAGTATATACCTTACAAGAATACTTCAACATTGTGGAAAATACATGAGAGTTAATGTTAGATGAGAAGATAGATACAACAAAATTTGTCGACTTAATATAAAGCTATAGCCAGCAGCCAGTTAGCTTAGCTTAATACGAAGACTGGAACAGGCGTAAGAAATAGTCTGAAACAAAACCCCAATAAAACTGTGAATTGTAGTTTTTACACTTTGGTTTTTGTACAGATCAAAAAAACTAGATGTAACTTCTTAATTAATGAGCTTTAAAGGTGTGGCTAAGTTGATTTTGTTACAGTTTGGCAGAGCCAGGCTAGCTTTTACCCCGTCTTTATGCTAAGCTAAGCTAACTGACTGCTAGTGGTAGCCTTATGTTTAACGGACAGACATGAGAGTGGTATCAATCTTCTCATCTAACTCTCCGCTAAAAAGCAATTAAACCTATTTTTCAAAATGTCGACCCATTCCTTTGGATGCCTCATAAAAGTTAGCTAAAACATTATATTTGCAAGCTCCAGTGCTTCACTGTATGTGTAGCTCACTTCAGGGCCAGCCCTGGCAATGTTGGCGCCCTAGGCGAGATTTTAAATTGGTGCCCCCCCTAATGCCCAACCCTAAAAAGTGCACCTCAGGGGTTGGGGCCATCGCTCCCCTATCCTCAAGAATTATTTTAAACGTTCAGCAGCCAAATTCACAATTTTAGCATGTATAGATGAAAAGCCAAGTCTGTAATCATGGTCAATAATGAATAAGTGTGATCAGCATACTTGTCAACCTCAACATCATAGCCTAAATTGGGAGACCACACGTATTCCCATCCAACTGTGAGTCAACCCAGAGACTGTTTACTTGCAGTATGTCTTAGATTCCTAGAAATGCAAGAGCATTGGTTTAGTTTCAATAGTGGAGATGAGTCAAGTGAAGAGGAGGATCTGGGGGTCCTCCCTCAGAAAATTTAAAGCATTGGGGATCATTTCCTGCGTTCTGGTGAAAATGTCTGCCTTTTCTGCCTCAATTTATGGTGGAAAAGTAGGTGACAATTCAAAATATAAAAAATGGATAGAATATAATGCAGTAAGGCTTCAACATTCTGTAGCTATTGTTTTTAAATAGCCTATATTTCTCCTGTAGATCAACTTGTCTAATTTAATAAAATCCCTGCTGAGTCAGCACACCTGCAGGCATGATTCAGTCTTCCCTCCTCTTTTGTGTCTTTTGCATGGGGATGTGCATGTGGCACCTTTTCACCTCAAATAACTTATAGTTATATATTCCTGGACTTTAATAAATCCTGTGTTTCAGCAGGTTTTCTTCTCATGTTCAAAACTTTCTGCTCATTTAGGATCTCTCCCACATCTGTGTTCTCTGACATGTCGAAAAAAAGAGCAGCACCGAAACCATCTGGAAAGCACTCATCACAAATCCACACACATTAACTTCAGCAGCTCCGGTAAAGTGCTGCTCACAGTCCCAAACAGAGCAAGTCTGCACCTCAGGTTTTAGATGTTTATATTCTCTACACAACGACACTACTCGCCACAACTGTCTGAACTCAAAGCGCGGGCCGCGAGATGCACTTAATTGCTATCACGGCGTATGCCGGCGTCACAGTAGCTGGGCTGAGATGACTTGTGCCAAGTCAAAACCTTCTCTTGCGGCGCCCCCTGACATTTTGCGCCCTAGGCAACCGCCTATGTCGCCTATGCCACGGGCCGGCCCTGGCTCACTTACAGTACAGTAAGTGAAATGCAAGATGCTCTGTTGGACATAATTGAAATTTCAAGAACCTTTAAGTATTTCTCTTTGCATGCTGGACTTGTGATGGATTTGTGGGTTTGAAGAAGTAAAATTATTTTAGTCAGTTTGTCTATGCTCGTGCAGCATTACCTGTATTCCCTGGATGCAAGCACTGACAATCTCTCTGTAGTGGCTTTTGGTGCAGAGTGGACAAGCATGCTGGCTCTGCCACATAAAGTGGAAAGTACAACCATCACACGTCCCCTCTGAACAGTTACTGTGGAGAAAAACAAAGAAAGAGAGATTATTATAAGCTTTATCTGATCTCCAAGGAGTCACTTTGTCCACAGTTCAGATTCACAGAGCTCAGCATGTGACATGTAAGTGTCAAATATGGCTATTGTAATTCAGTATGTGTGTCAACTCAAATGCTGTCTGGACAACTGTTGTAAGGTCAAAAGTTGAGCTTGGTCACAGTGAAACCTTGGCAGCGTGATGAGGTCTGTAGCGGCCACTGTGGGATTGCATCTCAGTCTGATGGTGGCTGACCTGCCTTGTTTACAAGCTTGAGTCGTCTCACTGGACCTGGAAACATCCCAGACATGAGGAACATAAAAGTCTTAACTTCTATAATGTGATATACTTTAAGACTATGTTTGATTTTTAATTCTATTTAATAATTAAACAAATGATCAAACTTTCAGCATCAAATATTTACTTAAAATTAAACATAACATGGAACTGAAAATACCACAGTGGATGAATGAAACACAATAAATGAAAAACTGTGATCTTATTTACTTGTAATAGAATATGACATCTGGCAGGCCGGACGCAGGGGGAAACAGCCATTTTGGAGAGGAGATGCTACTCAGGGTTGTGTCAGTTGTCACACCTTCAGAATAAAAAGACATGTTGCATATATGACATGTAAAGTATGTAACACATTTTAAACCAGCGGTTCTTACCTTTTTTTGATAGCAACCCCACAATGTCAATTTACAACCCTTAATCACACGATGCACATGACTTTAATTCGGATACTACACTATCAAGTATGAAGTATGAGGCCCATCCCATTGCAACAGTGTGTGGGTGTACATAAAATACAGAGGATGAGGGTGTTTTAAAGTGCATGATACACCGGGGGGGGGGCCTTAATGAAAATCAAGGCCCTTAATGAAAATCAAGACATTTTAATACACTTTTTTCTCCATTTAAATGACAAATCTTACAAACATAGCCTATCCTTTAGAGCAATAGAGGGCTGCAGCATTCAGTTCATACCTATGAGTGAGTCACCAATAAGGAAAGGCTGGGAAGAAACCACGGTCTGACTCCTGATGTCAGAGGGAACCACAGTGGACTGACATACGTAACCTTTGACCTCTCTCCTAATCTCTGTTACATTGTCCACACAGGTGGCCGGTACTCTGCTCTGTAAGAGAGAGACACATCACGTTAAAAGGCACGCCAAACTAAAATTTAGCTAAATCCAAGGTCATCAGGATCCCAGCTCCTCACCTCTTTCCCACACAGACCCAAATTAAAGTGGTGGAAATATCTCAGGCCTTTGTTGGTGAAGCGCGGGCTGCTCTGGAAGCCGGTGACATTGGCCAGAGGAGAGAAGTCATAGTGCAGCAGTGCTCCCCCTCCTGTCTGTACGTCCAACGTACAGTCACTGATACATGCTGTGTGGCCCTGAAGGGATTTAGATGTACATCCATTCTGTTTACAGTGGGTGGAATAATCTCATGCACAAGCTGTGGGAAACCCAATTTATTTTTGGTAAGTATTATAAAAGAAGTCAAGTAAGAGGTAAATAGCACCTTAGCCAGACCAACGTATATTGTGGAAAACAATTCAAATTCAAATGGTGGAAAGTCTTGCAACTGTGATTATTGATTACTGATGTGATAATTGCTTATTGTGTTTATGTATATGTAAGAGAGACATGATACCCATTAACAAGTATTGCATATTTTCATATGAGATAAAGATATATAGATACATTCAGGGCCATGGCCAGGGTTTAAGAAATGCTGAGGTCATAAGTCCAAATTCCCCAAAGCAAACCCCACCTTCTTGAACGAGAATAGTCTTAAAAAAATACAATAAAGCAGCCTTTAAAACACCCAACCCAGAGTGTAATTTTTTAATAACAAATTCCCAGGAAGAACCCTCACCAGCCCTGCATACATCCATGCAATGATAGATCAAGTCAGGGCTTTGTATGTAGAGTTTTTCAGTAAAAAGAATTGTATTCCCATTACCTTGTTACTCTTCATGTTTGGTCCACACTGAACACAAGCAGCCTCTCCGACTGGCTGATCGGCCCTGATGAAGGTGTTTGGCGGGCAGCTCATACACACTCCTGTCCCATTGACCATGTAGTGTCCCGGTGGGCAGGGAACACAGGCAGAGCCCTCGTTACCAGAACTCAGGGCACAGTGACGACAATGAGAGGCCACGCCTTCGATCACATTGGTGATGTGGATTGAGTAGATCTTTGCAACATCAGCACTGTATTTCCTCTCCTGAGGGAAGAGAAACACAAGGTATCATTCAGCAGCTGAGTTGCTCTACATACAAGGAAAGCAGGAATTTCTATTATTCCCACTTTCTACTCTGTTCTCATGAAGTACATGTACAAAGTTGATTCAGATTTTTTAGAAGTGGACAAACAGCCCCAGACTGCCCTCTAGAGTTCAGTACAAAAGCAAATTCACTGTGAAAGCAAAAAGCAAACATGATGCTACTGCAGTCTTTCATAACAAATCCTAGTGATAATTTAAAACATTTACAGTCAAATAATTTTATCTCTAAATGTGGTGCATCATCTTCTTGCCTTCTTGCATATCCTCATCAGTCACATAAATAATCATAAAAAACCTTTATAATGGATAATGTCTCAGGATGTCTCACATCTCACATCTGTAGTTCTTAGTATTAATGAATTATCATATTGTATTGGCTAAACAGGTACATATGTCCTCGATTACTATGTAAATAGCCTATGCGATATCCAACCGAGGATACCTAAACAAAATGTGGTGTTTTTGTTTTCTCCTGTCATTTTTTGATGCAAAGTCTCTCTATGAGCTGCAGGTGAAACTCACTGAATGCAATGGCGCTGGAAAAACAGAATGAGGCAGGAAGTGAAAGGCAGAATGAACGAGATGGAGGAAAGTCTTTACTGTGGTAGTTACTGTTCAAGTAAAGACACAATTTCATTCTTAAATTATGGCTAAAAACCTATTTTGAGGTCACAATGACTTTCAAGTCAAAAGAGTCAACTATACAGCGTCTGACCAACTGTGAAATATGGTCACAGTCTCCCATTCTGTTCCTGAGTTGTAGGGTGAACAATTTTGCGACATTTTGGCTACATTCAGACTGCAGGCCAATGTGACCCAAATCCAAATTTTTTTTGCCCATATGTGACTCAGATCTGATCTTTTTATGACAGTGTGAACAGGCCAAGTGACATGGAATCTGATCTTTTCCAGTTCGGAATTGGGCCGCTTCCATATGCGGTCCACATCCGATTCAGATCGGATCTTTTTAAATGCGACCTGAGTGTCCAGACTCAGGTCGCATTTAAAAATCACACTGGAGTCTGATATGGGCCACATTTAAGCAATAATGTCAACTGTCAAACAAAAAAAATCGGATCTGGTTAAAAAATCGGAATTGAGTATTAAGGCCTGCAGTCTGAACGTAGCCTATGATGTCACAGTGAAGTTGACCTTTGACCTTGGAATTTAATACCAGTGGACGTTTGTGGCAATTTAAAGAAGTCCCTCAAGACGTTTCTGAGATATCGCAATCACAAGAATAGGACAGACTGATGGACAACCCGAAAACATAATGAAAAACACATAACAAATGTATATATAAAAAGCTGTAAAATGAATAGAACTGTTGTGGTTCTACAGAATCTCCCCACTATCTTGTGTTCTTTTGTTCCCCCCTTCCCTGTCCTCCCTGTCTGTGTTTGTCTGGGCGTGGCTACACTCTCTGGCTCCAGCGGCGCACCTGGTCCTCATTCCACTAATCAAGCTCCTGCAGTATTTCAACCCCAGTCCTCCTCACATTCTTCGCCAGATTGTCAGTTAACACATGTGGTACATGCGTCAAGGCCAACTATCTACTCCGTAAGATTCCTTGCAATTTCTGTGTCTCCCTGGATTAACCTGTTTTTCTCTGTGCCCAGGATCACACTACCTCCGGGAACTCTGCTGAACGCCACACCCCGCTCTGCTCACATCTTGCCTGGACAAACTCCCCTCCTCTGTGCTCTCCATTCTGCCCTGTTGGAACCTACCACCCAGTCTTCCGTTGCTCTTTTCAATAAAACCCTTTGTTACCCCTTTGAACTGTTCCGAGTCTGCCTTTGAGTCCTTAAGTTCTTGTATTATGACAAGAACTTGAATTCATGATAAATTGCTGTTGGGCTGGCTGTCTGGTGAGAAGGATGGAAGTGAAAATAAAATAAAAATGTACTGCTTGACCAGCGAATGAGAAAGCAACTTTTTTCCTGCCTATTCCTTTAAAAAAAAAACAAAACTTAAGGCTGAGGGAGTGAAGCTGTTAAAAGGTCATAAATAATGAATGATATTCGGGATGTGTGATTGTGTCTCACCACGTTAAATTCCTCTGTTCGCTGAAATGTCCAGGTGAAGCTGACGGTGCTGTTGCTCTGGATCAGGTAGGAGTACGACTGTTTGCGGTTGCTGCCTTTCCACTGCTCCACCACATCATTACTCCACTGATTATAACCCTGCAGAGAAATACACTCACCTCTTATACATTCATACTGATGCCAAGCTTCTTTTTATGGATGCATCCTGACACATACATATGAGAAGAAATGTTGTAACTTTTTCCCTCACCGCCAGGAAAAAAAATTTGCAGTCAGCTGTACATGTGGTCTCAAAAACGAAGGTGATGTGAGAGAGTTCACTCCTTTCACTGTCTTTGGCCATGGACTGAGGCAGCCTGTGGAAACAAATGGTATTTAATTTAACTTTTACAGCTGGGATACAGTGTGTGCATATATAGACTTGTATGTGTGATTCCTTAAGAGACCTCACCTGTATCCAGTGACACTGAGCGTGAGCATCAGGTAGTCTGTGTCCTGATCCCCAGGAGTGGTGTAAACATACTCTCCAGCCACCTCCCATGCTGCCATTACAAACATATATTTAAAAAAACAGTAACACACTCCTACACTCCCTTAACAATGCAAACACACATTCATTCTGATGGACAAGAATAAATCACATATACTGTAAATAAGAATCAAAGCATACGTTAACACCATAAGTAATGCAGAGGCTGAATGTTTAAGTTCATTTTTGACCTTGGAAATAGAGGTTTGACAAAATAATATTAACTGAAGGTCCAGTTTTTGGATATTTGCACTTGAAGATTTTTGTCAAATGCTGGGGCTGTTTTGTTTGGTATTTTATGATAGATACATCCTGAATTTTACTTTGTCCTTACATTTTTCTCTTATAGAGGGTATGGGCATGACGTCACAGAACACAGTTACGCTCACTGAGTGGCAGAAAGACGAGCAGCAGTGTTACCTTGAATCAGCTAAAACACAAACAACACATCTAACATGGGAAAGAGCTGGACCACTGGTTCTTTGGTAAGCTGTAAGGATCACTGTCGAGTCTGACTACCTTTAATTTCAGCAAATAATCACTTGTTTTACTCGCAGTTTGGTAAACGCAGCCATGGTAACAGATGTTTTGCCACTCAGTCCAGTATGTCCAAGGGGAAGTGACATCAACGCATACCCTCTATAACCCCTGGATAATTTGCTTTTTGGGAGCTATCTGTGCTATCCTTCAACCTCTGGTTGTTTTAGTAATTCTTGTGCCCCTCTGTATCTCACCCGTGCTGTGTTCAGTGTCGCCGAACTCCCGACGGAAGGTGTAGCTCTTCATGTTGCTCGGCATCGTGTTCCACCATTTGTACTCAAGACCCAACACTGGCTCCGTGCCAACAGGGCACTTGGTACACGCTGTGAGTAAATAATGTGTTATTAAGGCAGGGTATACATTTACTAGAAAGCTGGAAAATAAAACATGTGATGTATTGGCAGTGCCTGTTTGGGTGGACATTAACATTGAATCTAGAGCACACAAAAACTTTTTTTTAACCCTGATGAAGACACAGTAGTGTCTTTAAATGTATTAAAGGCTGTTCCAGGCCCTTTTTTCCTCTATGTTTCTTGTCCTTGTTCTGAGAAACAACTAACTCTGCGGCATATTCACCAGGGTTTGCATTAAGTTTGAATATGACAATAGGAAAGCTCCAGTTATCGAATAAATGTCAGCATTTACAGCCTTAAGTGCCAACTCTTTACTGTCCATTTTAAATGATAATTTTTTTGTACTTGTTCCAGCACAGTTCAGTTTGCTACACATCTTTGCTGAAAACATGAATTCTAATTGGTCACTTTGTTTTTATTTGTGTCTTTACTTGGATCACAGTTTTATATACTTCTTTTAAATATTGCAGTCAGGCTGCAGTTGCAGTCAAGAAGTGTAATCTATTTTGGACAATTTCACAACAGTGAGACTCCCTTTAGCACTAAGGATGTAAATAAGCTTTTGTTAAAATCATATTACTTGATATTAAGTGTCAAATGATCAGCATCTTTGGTAAGTGCACACGTATGACAGTACAAAGTAAGCAGTCTAACATGCATGTAAGATAGAGTGTGAGGAGTGTACTGATCCTGCACCTGTTCCGTTTGAGTAGAAACCTTTGTCACAGGGTTCACAGGTGGATGAGTTGGTGACAAAGAAACCCGGGTTACATGGGGGACAGGTTTGCTTCTCCCCTGATGCGGGCAGTGTCACAGCTCCTTCGATGGTCTCACTGCAGATCTTAGGCTCGATCCACTTGTACATGAGCTGGGTCTGGGACACACGGCAAGCCAGACATGAATACATGATAAAAGCCATCAGTGGCTCTGTGGGCATACACAATCAGTCCAGACAATGCATATTTAAAGAAACCTAATAGTTACACCAGATGGTTGCTAGCAGGATATTCAAAGTTAAATCTCTTTCTCTCTCTTTCTGTTCACCCTACTGAACCTGCATAAATGCTGCCTCCACACAGGCCATGCCATTTTCTGCATTACCTTTCCCTCAGAGTCACAGGGAGTGTGGGTGTAGAAGTAGTCACTGTTTGTACATGAAGGTCTCGGTTTGCAGGTCCCGGAACCAGCCTCTGGAAAAACAGAAACCAAGCCAGAGGAAAGAGAGGGCGGGGACGAGGGAAAACACACAGCTCACATTAAGATCCAGTGATAAGGCAAACCTTACACACACTAAAATCACTTAAGCAGTAAATGCAGCATTTGCATGCACATTGCTTTGCATGAATGTGTGTGGCAACACGCAAATGCATAATGGTTGTAAATCTAGACAAGAATTATGTCAAGTTAAAGGGTGGACAGCAATGTGCATACCTGCATATGTGTCTGATTCACACTGATGGCAAACAGTGGCACCCTTGTTGGAGTAGGTTTCAGCAGGGCAGGGAGAACAGCGGGCAGATCCTTCTTTTGCACTGTGGGTGCCAGGTTTACAATGGAAACACTCTGATGTGTAGGCCACCCCTAAAAAAAAATATCAATCAACTTGTAATCATTAACAAGAAAAAGGAGTTGAGGAGTGAACAAACGTGTAAGACAATAACCTACCGGAGATGGCAATGTTTCTTAACAGCACAGGTTTGACAGCACTGGCCTGCAGAGCGTACGAAGTGGCTCTCCAATACAGCACATTGTTGCCACTGTTCAGCTCAACCTGCACAGAGTGAATGTGAAAATGGGATATGAAAAAAACAAGTCAGAGAAAAACGGGGTAGAGAAAAACATAAGAGATCTTTTGGACTGAATTCTCAGGTAAGTGACAACCAGATGCCAACAGATGTAATGATACATGCAGAGATGGGCAAAGATCCATCAAATGTATTTTCAAATAAGATACAAAATACCCAAATTTTAAGTGTATCAAAATAAACTACAAACTACAGCAGGCACGCCATGTATCATAATAAATTACTATTTTCAAAAATACTAAAAATACTTTTCCATAGTACCATGCAATCACTTCAAACCTTCCATCTATTGGTCTATTTGATCCATCCCTTCACTAGCACACTCACTCAAGTGACCAACGTTTGAGAACAGCAGCTTTTCTCTCATGCGATAAATCTGACATGCACCCAAATAAAAGACCAAATATTCACATATCCCTGTGATGAAGGTTAGTTTTAAAGTAACAATTGTATCCTAATTTAATTAGTAGGTGTTTGGTAATGAAGGGGGTACTTTGCATCATCTGAGCCAAAACAAACACGAGTGCCGGATGGGTGGACAACCTGCTGTTTAATGGTGTTGCAGCAGATTGTTGTTGATGATGTTAATGACGTTAACAATAAGGGTTAGGGTAAGTTACACTATCTCGTGGCATTATAAAGTAATGTTGTACAACATCTCCAAAATGCTTCTTTTTTTTCATGTACAACCCAAAAACCCAAAAAGTTAACATAGCTTAAAGTAGCAAGTCAGCGTTTACTGTGGCGGCTGCTACAAAGCTGGAGAACTACTCTTTTCTCACTTTGACCTTCCTCCTCAGGTCTGGATCAGTTTTCTGTTCCGATCAGACGAACACGTCTGGGCAAATTACTGAGTAGGCACTAATCAGAGGCAGCCTTTTTATGATGTCATCACTTTGACTTCTCACAAAGTATTTTACAGTTTACATTTTTATCAGCCCATTCAAAAACAAATTACAAAATCCTATTTTGTATTTGAAATACATATTTTAAATGCAGGTATCATAAATACAGTCCGTCCCTGGCTACATGCAGACAAACCTCGTATTTGCTCCATTTGCTCTCAGATCTCTTTATCCACCGGTTTTGAGAGTCCGTAGACTGACACTGGTCATTCTGAACCTACAGGAGGAAGCGAAATGAGTTAGAAGTTACCAAATATACCCCTCCCTGAAAACTACCATTTTTATCAAAATCAAAAGTCATTTTAAAAACACTTACAAAGAACTCAAAATAAATGCCGCTGTCAGGGTAGAAATATTCAAAGGACACAGTTCCAGGTTTCTTCAGGCTCACAGCGTAGGACAGCGTTGCAGTGCACTCATCTGTGTTTGAGGCTACATAATCGCCCTTTGGAGTCCAGGTTGAGCTGGAGAAAGATCAGCAGCAGAAACAGTTTGATGAGCTTCTCAAAACTGAGAAACAGTCAGAGCTTTGATTGATCAGAAACGCCAACACACATAAAATAAACCTACTTTTAACACAAAAACAAGTGAGGCCTATACTAACTTGGAGCAGTCTGTGTGGGCGTCCCCGTAGTTTGTGTTCACCCCGTGGGTCTCAAAACCAGAGGGCAGGGTGTCCCACTCATCAAAGGCCACCCCAGTGCCCAGAGAGTAGGTGCCTGCAGCACACTTCTGGCACTCCTGCGACTGCATGTCGAGGAATTCCCCCTCACTACAGGAGAAGGCTATAAGAGGAAGGAGTAAAAAGAGAAATGAGAGGCCACACTGAAAAGGTATCAGGAAGATGAGGACAAGCTAGCAAGGAACAGATGCAGGATGGAGTGTGGTAACAATTTAATATTTACACTGTTATTTAGCTGTGATACAGATGGAGGGTGTGTGGAAAATATTTAAACAGTGATGTAAGAGCAGGACACTCACTGCACTGGGTGCCTTTGACTGGATCTGGGAGGCCTGTGCATGTGTCAGCTTTGTTGGGAACCGCCACTCTCCATCGTGACCCGAGCACATCACAGTCTGTGTACTCAAAGTGATAATCTGACTGCAGGGACAAAACACAGGTGGTGAGTTTCACACAGCTGGATAAAATGGCACTACACACACACTTTACTTAAAAGAAGTACATCAAATACATTGATGTACTTCTTTTAAGACACAGAAAGATTTCAGCATGCACGTGAGAAGCAAATGGAGCTTGTTTTATACATCTGGAATCTCTTTGCAAAACCAGGCAAGCCTCTTTTCCAAACAAAAGTTGCGGCTAATGTTTGCCCAGAAGGCTGTCTCAACTGTCTTTTTAATCTCACTCATCCTTTTGTAAACATTTCATTTCAGTGTTGTCGCAGGATTTTGGAGACAGCAGGAGCTCAGGTGCAAAGCTTTGGAAGCTCTGTGAAGCTTTTGACACCTTTTGGAGATACCCATTATGATGCAGTTTGGGTTGTGACATAATGTAAAAGGTTATCTTGGTTATCTGACACCTTCTGAAACAAGTCCTGACCGGGCACACAGTGTAATCTTGGTCGAAGGAAAGCAACTCACTAGACTGATCCAAGCCCACACAAATAGCCTTGTGGGATTAATTGTTAACAGAAACACAGGAGCAGCAGCAGCACCACTCCTCCTCTGGGTCTATGTTTTCGATTAGAGCTGCTACATTAGCTGTGGTAGGGGTATCAGATGAACATGAGTCTGGGTGGGAGGATCTGATGTAAAAATGCATCAAACTGGACATGTGCTGTAGCCGAATCGCCTCCTTTAAACAAACATGAGGAAACCAAGGCTACGGGACATAATGACCAGTGTGCCTCAAGGTCAATGGACTGGCATGGAAACAAAGTGGCTGCTCCCCAAGCTCCTTCCCTAAATCATCATCATCTATAAGCCTCAACAGACTCAAAATAAATACTAAAAACACTGGTGTCTTAATTCCACATTCATATTGTGTCAAAGTTCTAACTAAACTGATAAAAAAGAAAAGTTTTGAGTGTTATCAAACAGTACTGTTGTTATGCAAATTGAAAACAGATATAGCAGGGAGAGCAGAGCACAGCAGCAGTGTAACATTTGGAAGTTAAAACAACCATAACACCAAAGCAAGCAGAAGGGAAGTGACCAATGTAATGTCACTCAAACACTTGCTAGAGAAACACATTTCCAACACACAATATGCAAAGGACGCCAAAGTGTTATACTTACACTTTTCTTTATTTGTATTTAATTCTAAAGACTAAACTTAATCATCCAATGATACAGGTTTCCTTGCATTAGAAGACATTTAGGTCAGATCCCTTTTAAAATGTTCAGAAATGTTGCATATCTCAGAGCAACAAATTTCATATCTTGCTGGATTTACTGTAAATGTCCATCTACTTCTCATCCATAAGCAATTTACCTGATAAAACCTTTATATGCACATGAAATTGTCATGATGGGACACCTATGAGTGTCACTTCTGGATGGGTTTGCTATTCGTAATTTATAGAAACAGCCTGGCTCACAATAAAACAATAATAATCTCCTTACCTCTTTGCACATGGGCAAATCCGCAGACGCTGGCGCAAGAAGCAGCCAAAGTAACAGGTGGCTCAGGTGTGTCGGGCCTCGCTGCATCGTCGCCTGCTGTCAGTGCTGAAGTGATGGATACGGAGGAGCAGGCGTCTGACCTGCGCCCTCAGGTGCTGCTGCCCAGCAGGCGGCTGGAGGCGCGGCTTCACGCTGAACAAACACTGGGAGGTGGTTGGTACCTGTTTTTACTCTGAGTCATCTTTAAATGCGCGACAATAGGCAGACTTTGCATTTTACCTGCCTTCTGCAAGTATTATTTGCACATTATGTAGAAGTCAGCCGATTCAAGTAAAAAAAACATGACTTTGTTACACGCATTTTAATGATTTATAGGCTAGGTTAGTGGTTGGTTAAAGACAGCGTCCAACTCAAATAGGCCCAAAAGTATTGTGGATCTCATTTGTGCCGTCTGCCATCAGACACCACAACGCCACAGCACCCAACGTCTCCCATCTCTGACAGACTCTATTTTAGCTCCATTTTGATTGTACATAATTGATATTAGGCCTAGGCTATTATATTTGACTCTAGGCTATATAGTGTGTAGGCCTAGCCTAGCCTATTTATTCATCTAAGTAGAATACCGAATTGATTCTACAGTGCTTTTATTGTATTTTCTACCTCCTTTCTACCATACGGAAGTATTAATAAAATAATAACTAATCTTATTTTATAACATGTGGAAGAAAAACTTGGCCAAACATCGATTTCTTTTGAAAGGTTTAACCGGAAGTTTGTGGTTGCTAAGAAACCCAGTCGTAAACATACTAGGAGATTTCTTCTTTAACAACAGAAACAACCACACAGTTCGCACATATTGTATTTTTTCGCCACCTAACTTGGTGTTGTCATCAAATATGTCAGGCCGGGATCCTTTCCCCTCCCCAAAGTTTGAAAACGGCTTCACTCTCAGCGGCTTTCTGCCGCAGCAGGTGGGTTTTTCTACTGATGAGAAATTAACGTTACAGTTTGTCTGATGTTCCGCTACAGGCTGAGCTAAACGTCACGTATCTTTCGAATATATATATTTGATACAAGGTAGATGTCGCCTATTTGTCACATTACATCAGGTTGTAAAGTGAAATTGAGTTTGTAACTGCTTTCTGCTACGTAGCAGACAATATGCTATAAAATAAAGGTCTAGTATAAAGGCAATTATAAATATAGTAAACAGGAATAAACTATATTCAGTGGAGCAGTGCTGAGGATAATTTGAGTTTAAAAGTCTGATAGCTTGGGGGGAAACCTGCTCTGCAGTCTGGTGCTGCGGCAGCAGAAACTTCTATATCTCTTCCCAGAAGGCAGCAGGGTGAACAGGCTATTGATATATTTTTCTTTTCCCCACTTTTCAAACTGCCTGTAAGGGCCAGATGTCCAACATACTGTAAATTCGTGTTATTTTGAAGAACATCATCTACTGTTTTTGTTGTCAGGTTACTGGTGGTGATTGATTGAGCTGATGGGTTCCTATTATCCCCATGCTGAAATATTACATGGCCAAGGGATATACAGAACAGAATATGCAGCAGTAGCCTACCCTAAGCATGCATATTCCCATATCCCCCAAAAAGTCACAATTAATTGACCACAAGCCAGCTTCTTTTGGAGTCCCATGGGACCTTGCCTGGCTGGTAATCAGGCCTTACGGAAATAAAATGACAAAGCAGCTCTCCTGTGCAGCAATTAAACACATCAAATACTTAAAAGACAAAATGACGAAGATTATTCATATTATCATAAATATTAATAAAGTAAAAATGTTATCTCTGTGGAAAGAGTATGTAAGTATGCTGCAACACACAGATACTTCTGGACATTTTTGCTACCATTTTAACTCTTTGACTAAACTACGATGTTATCCTAATCCCCCAAATACATTTACCAAAGCTGTCGTCTCACTGAGTTCTCATGTAACCAAACTATACTTCCAAGCACTTCAAATTTTGCATAAAACGTTTCACAAGTGTATTTGTTCACTACAGGTGTAACCTAAAGCAACATGCTTGTGTGACATGTTTGAGCTCAGGCATTGCTGGCTTACTACATACAATTGCTTTGTATATTTGGAATTCATTTTTCTCCTTTCCAATTGTGCAGAAAAAAACATTTGATAAACCAACTCACCTCGCCCAAACTGAGGAACCCTGGAGTCGCCTCCATGATACAGCCACTTTGGCCAGCACCCGGCGTAGTGTTCAGCATTATGAGCCTCAGGTAACCTCCATGATTTTAACCTTCACTTATGAAATGAGAGAAATATTTCAAGGAAAAAGCCAGGACCTTGAATGCACCACTCTTTTCTCAACCTCAGGGTCAAAACGACAGCCTCGACTTTCAACTTAAGTCTGTCTACGATCACCACAAGGACTTCTTCTGGAGCAAGAACCAGGTTTTATACCAGAAGGAGACCATCTCTGAGGAGCAAAGGTGAGTGTTTGAGATGTTAAGTTTGTGGCCTGGCAGAACAACTTCCATGTGTTGGCAGTGACATTTCAGGAGTCTAATTCACATTAATTTATCATTTTGTTACAGGAAAGAAGAATATTTAAAGCAGGACATGCTGGAAAAGGAACAAGAGAAAGACATCAGAGTGTGGATCGACCCACAGAGGCGCTCCATTTACAGCATTAAATGAAGCATAAGTGAAGTTCAGTTTTATTATGAGCCCCAGTCATTGCAGCATATCTGTGTAGAGAAACTAACACTAGCAAGCCCAATACTTCTGATTAAAATGTCAGACTGGTGGAATCTGACTTCAATATAAACTCGGTGAGTCGGGGGAGAAGCTGGTTTTGTGTGGAACAAGGTGTTTCCCAAATATCAACACAATGCCCCCCCCAAATGACAAACAAGGGCTACGCCAGGGGGAATGACGGCAGCTTCTATTCAACAAGAACCTCCCAGTACTATTATCTCTAACTGCTACTGCTACCTTCAGAGCTCTGCAAATAAGCAAATAAATTAGTTCTTTCAGTTCATATTTGTGCAGCTGGTGTTTTTCCAAATGTCCTCTGAATACTTAACAGTTATTCATGGACCACACAGACTGCAAAAAAAAAGAGATTCCTTTAAGACTCCAAGCATCATTTCAGAATCACTTTAACCACAAAACTCTCAGTAAACCCTGAAAAAAAACTGCCACAGTGGAATAAAAGCATGAACACTTAGCTCACTCGTCTGTCACATTACAGAGAGATTTAAATGGATATCTAATGAAGGTACAAAATGTGGGTATATTTCGGCATAATTTGGCTTTTAAGACACAACAGCGCTTCTGTTTGTAGATTTCACTTCTGTGCAGATTGCCTACACATTTAAGCACAATGACACATGTGAGACACATGGCCCTGTTCTTCCTGTTTTCTACAGCATTTGGTCAAAATAACAGAAATTTAAATTCGCATGCAACTTATATTTATTTTCCAGAAAATATCAGAAACTTCTTCATATAGCACTGCGTACTGAAGCAGTATTCAAGCAAAGCATACAAGGTGTCAGATATTTAATCAATATTCTAAATAAATTAACATACACATGTAGAGCAGAAACAGCAGAATATTTTATTCAAATATACAGTATAAACGTGCATGTCAACAGCTGAGGAAGAGATGAAACAGTTGTACATATTTTATAGTATCTAAAGAGTTAACATGTTGCTGCATAAATAGAAAAATGTGAAAGCGAGAAACAAATGTGCTCAATGCATATTTCTATTTTCTATAAACCTGTTTTATAAATGTCCACCTTACTTTAAACAAATTGTTGCACTTGTGACAGACCCTTCAACAGAGCAAAATTAAAATGTTCTTTCCAAAGTTAATATAGCATATTCTATCTGAAACAGAACAGCTAAACATACGCTCTCTATTACCTGAAAAACATCAGTTCAACTTTCACAGCCAGATATGTTGAACTCACTGAACTGGGAACTAATTGAATTCCAGGCAGGACAGGGCGGCCTGGTGGATTCATGCCCTGGCTTTTCTTTGGAGACATTGTCTGATGAAAGCCTTCTCGTCCCATTTGTTGGGGGGAAGCATGTGGGCGCCGTTGTGGACACAAAGGACGGTCATCTCCTTGGCATACTGAAGATTCTGCAGCAGCTGAAGACAAACACAGCAGGATGTGTTCAGGACAACGAAGAGCAACATTATACAGTTTCACACAAAACATTTAAAACCTTCAATAACTGATTTTATGGTCACTTGGGGTCAACAGAAACGCCCTGAACACAACATTGACCAAGTTGATAGAGCAAACTGTTTGCTTTTATTCATATCCAGCAGACACAAATACTGGAATTTATATGGAGTTGTGTTTCTGGCTTCTTATGAAAGTCCAATAATCTCTATTTAACACTGTTTTTGGTCCCCACCAACTCCTGCTAAATTCTCCACTATGTTTGTCTGTCTTTTGTTTGGTGCTGAACAGTTAGCGCACTGGGGTTTTTAGAGCATTTTCACTGAAAATAGCTGCCTGCTGTGGCTGGAAACAACGCTGATGAGAGCGGTGAGAGTGAACCAAAATAATCATGTGTGAGGCCTTAAAAGTGAGCTGATTATGTTAAAAACAAGCATTAAGTCTAACAACCAGCAGGGGGCAACTCCACTGGTTGCAAAAAGAAGTCAGACTGCATTGGACTCAATGACAAAATGACTCTACTTCTCACTTGATGTATTACCTCAGTACACTTTCCTGATGAGTTTATGGTCTCAATCGCTTGTTTCAAGTCTTTTCCAACACAGCATGTTCATTTTGTAAATTATGGTACCATGTACATTTAACTAACAGTGAACTTGGTTTTGGGTGCTATCTGTGTTTTTCTCTAAGAGCTCTGAAGCTTTCACAGTCTGTTTTCAATTCATGGAAGTTGATTGTAATAATCTGGTCGCTTAAAAATATCTTGTTCAATGGTCGGTTGTACTAAAAGAGATTGTAAGGACTCAGCTGTTCATTTTATCCGGTAAGTACATTTTGTTTTGAGCCTGTTTTTTGCTAGAAAAAATTAGCATCCCAGTTAAGCTCACAGTTAACGTGAATTGCAGATGCAGCTTGCTAACCAAGCTAGCTAGCTCCACCCTCTCGTCCAAATGTGGTCACATCCGGTCACGTCTGCTTCCAAAAAAAAAAAAAAAAAAAACATACACGAGATGGTGACCGTCAAAATGACAAACTCGAAACTTCAAAACGGTAGTCCATAAACCAGTGGGTGATGTCACGGTGGCTACGTCCATTTCTGTCATACAGTGTATGGTTAAAACGCTCTGTAGAGCTGAGGAGAAAGGCAGGGTTGGGTGATAATTCTTACTCACTGTCTGTCTCATCACTATGAGCGACACCTGTCACGTCGACTAATCATGTGATCCGTGGTTAATATAAAAATATTTATTATAGCCACTTACACAGATACATAGATATACACATACACTCAGTGAGATCAATCTCCTGTTACCATCCGAACACTCACTCATTAGAAGGTACAAACACTTACTTTGGGTGTTATAAAGAAGTACTGGGATGTTGTCTCTTTGCAGGCGGTGCGGACAACAATGTCAAAGACTCTTCTCTCATTTACAGGATCCATTCCCTACACAAAAGAGATCAATAATCTACTAACTTTTGCTTTCAAGCAAGTGAAAAAAAATTAAAGTAAAAAAAGGAATCGATATTTACACAATTTTGTAATATATAAAATGTTAAAATCCTTGAACATAGGAGGAGAGTATAATACTCCAGGTACTGCCAAATCTGTCTATGTTAATGTGCTTGGATAACAAATTCAATTTGTTAAACCATAAAAAACAGAACAAACCCATGTAAAACATAATTCCTGCATTCTTTTTTTTTTTAAACAATCAACCATTCTTCGAAGATCGTTTTAGTGCTAGAGAGAATAGTAAAGTACATAGCTGGTAACTAGCAGTCTGGACCGCTATGCTGATAAAGGATAGTTGTGAGACACTGTTGTGGCGTTCATAAACAGGAACTTTATTTCCTCTGCAGCAACGAACACAATACACAACCATAACATTGCATCTAGACTAGCCCTTCACAGCGCTGTAGCCAAACTGAACGTTTTTATCGTCTGAAGAAGTGCTACCTAATCATCTCATTAAGGGCTAAGGAAACGGTGATTCATTCATTTTTGGTGTAGTTTGGACCCTAGATCACCACTACATGACCATTTATAAAAGCACCTTTCGTTTGGCTTCTGATCCCTACAATGTGAGACAAAGATGCAAAATCCCTTTTCCTGGACTCAGGACAGGTCATGCTCTCAGAATGTTTTGTAGTTTCACATTTTAGCCCTGTCCCTAAATGCTCAGTTCATATTCTCCCAAAAGAAAAAGCAATTTTGTGTGTGTGTGTGTGTGTGTGTTTTGAGTGCTACCTGGTTGATCTCGTCCACCACTCTGAAAGGACAGCGGTTGAGCTCCTGCAGGGCCATGAGGTAGAGCATTGTGGAGACGCTGCGCTCTCCTCCACTCTGATGGTGGGCCGTCAGCTCATGGAGCTGAGTGCTGCTGTGAAACTTCACCCGAATTCTGATCCCATACTTGTCATATTCCTCCTGCAATGAAAGACAGCAGTCATTAAATGGTGTAATAATTACAATTCTTATTAAAATACCATTTACAAATACCAACAACCTCTTAATCGTCTATGAATGATTAATTATGAGCAATCCTCATGAGCTTACATGAATTAAAAGGAAACGACTGAAATCACCCTTTGACCCAGAGATGTCAGATTGTGTGTGTTGTTTTCAGTATTTACCTCATTCTCTGAGTGCAGATCAACCTCTCCTGCACACTGCATGGAGCGGAAGAAATCACTGAACTTGCCATTAATCTGTTCCACCAGCTGCTTCAGTGGGTTCAGCCAGCGCTCCTTAGCCTGCGATACACAGACAGATATCACTATACACACTTTTATACACAGAATGGCCATGCTGGCATTTAAGAAAACCTACAATGAACTATATTTCTTCACAAAACAATCATACAGGAATCACGGCAGCGACATATAGTGTACCTCTGATATGTTCTGTCGGTAGGCGTTCAGGTCGTTGCTCTTATCTTCCAGCTCTTTCTCCAGATTTTTGATCTCCTGCTCTCTCCTGTTGTACTCGTCGACAACCTTAAAACAGAGAGAATTAAAAGAATCATTTCTGTGTTTTTAAACCTTCACACATTTTGGTGACAAAATGACTAGTAGGTACATAACATTTTAGAATCCGTGCAGTAGATGGCTTCAGCCGGCAGCAGCAACATTTTCCTTGGGGGCAATTTTGCTTGTCAAAATTACATCCACATAAAGTGCTTCTGTTTTTTGCCACCAACAGGCTCAGACTGTTATGGTGTCTGACAACATCATGGAAAACGAATGATCCCTGCTGACACCCTGTTTTTAAACCGGGAACAAAAGTTCTCGCTCTGAAATCCCATGAGAGGCGAGTGGAAATGAGGGAGTTTGTTGTGTACGTAGAGGAACTGCTAGCAAGACTTTTGTTTTTCCAAGCATTACTCCACACGTTACTCCACAAGTGCAATAGGAGCAATAACTTAACTTATTTCTGAGGATACTCAAAAAAAACCCAGCGAAGCAAAAAACATTAAACCCTCAGCTGATTCTCATGTGCTCTTACACTTTCACTGAGGCCAGTGAAGCACTCGGATCTGGACTGCTCTCATTCAGCATGGCATCAATCTCGTCCAGCGTGTCAGGCAGCTTGGTGAAAGCCTGCATTAATTAATAAAAAACAAAAAAAAAACAGGAATATTTTATAAACTAATATGCTCAAATTGTCTCCTCAGAAAAGGCTGGACCACATGACAAGCATGTTATTCCACAGAGGGGGGGAGGCTTGTTTCACTGACATTACGCAGGTCTTCAGGTAGTGACTCATCAGACTGCATTCTGCAGATTGTCTTCGCTCTCTTCAACAGGCCTTTGCATTGTTCCGTCAGCTGGGCTTTCCTCTGCTCCAGACGGATGCATTTTTGCTGCGGGAACACACGGACAGTTAGCATATGCCAGTGATACAGAGCGAGGAGCT